ATGAATTTATGTTTAAAGGGTTAAGTTGAATCTTTCACGCCCCTTGTTAACGATTCCAGCATTTGTGACAAAATCTTCGTTTTTTTCTTCGTCAGATTCATATACTTCCAACGAAGTATTGAATAACGACTTTTTCTCGCAAAATTTTTTTAGCCAGAATATTTACTGTTTCTTCAAAGCGAATTAATGTTATATTTTTTTAATTTTTTTTTTTTTTTTTCGCGAGGACAAAATTGCGGTATTTTTTTTATCTTCTACCGGTGAAAAATTTGTCAACAAAATTCTTGTTTTGGGTTTTTTTTCCTAGTTTTCCTAGTCGCTGCATTCTTCTCTGGAAATATGCTTGTCTCTTCTAAAATAAGGAGCAAAGGTAAATCCATCATCTGAATTGCATGTGAATTCAGCTATGGTATTTACCACCGCAACTGGAGCGAAAAACTTGGCAAATTTCCCGTTTTCTTCCTTATGTCAATTAATTTTTTTGTTGTTTCTGGAGTTCCAACAACTGCTGTTGTTGTAGTTGCTATATTTTTACCACTGTGGTTTTAATTTCTTGTCATCATTGTTATTATGAGCGGCCACTGTTGTAACTCGCTCCTAGCAGTTATAATATTATGTCTCGCTTAGGCTAATCGCCGTAACGTCATTAGAAACTCTCTTCAGTGATTACAACGAACTTCCCCCGACTCAGTTTGAGTTCTTTATTTAAGGCATCTTGTCTAGTTCATTTGTGTTACCGGAGGTATCTTGTTTACTCCACAAAACAGATCGTCTTATGCGGACGTCATGCATGGCGTCCAACTCGTTCGCAGGAAGAAATGCCAACCTAATTCAAGAAAAAATCTGCCTTGTCAGTCATGTATCAAAAGATACATGATATCCTAAGCGTGTGTCACGCATGGCACATAACTGAACTGATATTTTCTTCCGGTATAAATTTGGGTATTTCAAATAGATTTAGGTTTAAATTATGGGATAACATAAGCAAATTAAAGGTCACGACCTTAAATAACCTAAAGAACAATTCCCCACCGCCACAAAAAATAACTTGGTGGAAGAGGGCGGTTTCTTCGTTTCATCATCATTAGTACGCGCTCTTCATAGTTTTGGGTAAATGGGATACATTTTAGTAAAGTGTTTTTATTTAAAATTTGCCGACATTCACCGACAAACGATATTAGTCGTTTTAAAATATTAACACAACGTTCAGCTCGTCCAGATGCGACAAGAGAAAATTTGATTAAAAATAATCCGATAATCTTGTGCGAATTTTATGTAGCCTAGACTTCGTTTAAAGTGTATGGAACATACGACAACATAAGTATATGAAAAGTTCAAACAAAACACAAACGTCTTCGTGTTAAAATACCTATATATATATATATATATATGTATGTATATGTGTGTGTGTGTGTGTGTGTGTGTGTGTGTGTGTGTGTGTGTGTGTGCGTAAATATATATATATATATATATATATATATATATATATATATGCAATTTATTAAATATGTTATTTATCTCTATAAAAGGCAGGATGTGTGTGTGTGTGTGTGTGTGTATGTGTGTGTGTGTGTGTAACGAATGCACGCTCGCAATTTTCGACGGATTTGCACCAAAATTTACATGCACATGCTCCAAGTTAGCGAAAAGGCCATGACCGACATTGTATTTCCCAACTCCCATCGATAGTGGAAATAATCGATTTTTCCTGCTTCTACGCTAGTTTTCATGTAGTTTGCGGCCATTTTGTACTGACCAGAGTGAGAGCCTATAGCTGGCTGCCACGAATAGGCAGAAAGATTCTATTGGCCAGCGTGAGAGCCAACAGCTGACTGACACGAATGTTAACTAGCATGCTAGCATGCAAAAAAAAATCGATAGCTGCATTCGTCACAAGTGGGAAAAATTTAAATCTGCATGGCACTTTACTCCAATTGGCTCATTCGCTTGCTTAAACTCAACGTTGATTCTGATTCCGCAGAACTGGGTTGGGTGTGAAAAAGTATTTGTTGTTAACATTCTTTTTTCATTCGGTTTTTCCAGTTACGAGTCCTTTTTTAAAGCTGATCGTTTTGTGTTAATTTTGTTTAGTTCTTTTTTCGTAACAGATTTAATGTTTACTATAGAGCTTAGAAAAAATTCGCAGTGTGAGAAGTAAGGCATGCAGCAACATCAGCACGGCAAAAGGCACTCCTTTAAAGGCAAGGAAGGGCAAAAATATTTTAAGTCAAGTGATAGCGATTGCTGTATGAGTCGTACGATTTTTGAATCAAGCACGGGCCATGCTGCTAGTATATTATATAAGTACCTTATTGAAAAGCGCTCAATATCAGTGATAGATCTAACATATTTAATTGGATTGATGTGAATTTATGACCCTGGGTTTCACGCTTTTGCGATCGTCAGACAAAATGATTAATTTTTAAATTTTGGATTTATATAGGGTTGCGTATATCGGTGTTTTTATGGAAGTGGAAGGGAAAATTGTCGTCGTGACGCCACTCATACTTATGCAAATATACATACACGCCTGTACACTCATTGACGTACGCAGACACACACACACACACACACACGCACGCTCACAACGACACATATATACGTATATATACCAAGTCCCATACTGTTCACATATGTTTATGTTTGTGTGAGCTCCGCCGGGTGATAGGTAGGATAGATAATGGTTGAGCTAAGACTTGAAGATGTTTAGATTGTAGTGATCGAGGAACTATGAGTCTGTTTTGCAAAGTAGCTGTTCTTAGAAATAAAAAATATCCGAACGAAACTTCTTAAATTAACAGCATTATGTAGGCATAATATAATTAGCGTCGTATATTAAAGCTCCATAATTTCTTTTTAATTAATCTATTCGGTCCATTTAAAAAGGTTCTGTAGTATAAAAAATTTCGAAAATCTTTTAAAATAATTTTTGTTCAGGGTAATCCTATGTCTGCTTTCAAATCTGAACTCTGAACTCTGTATTTGGTTTCAATATGTTTGCCGCTGAATTGTTTAAAGTGTCAATTTATCAAGATATAAATTAATAACCAACCTTCCACCACCCTTTAACATTATTTTTAATTTCTCTATTTTAGCATAGATCTGACTTTTAATTGTTTAATCCAGACAGGCCCACAAATATATATATTTTTTTAATTCTGACATTAGTTTCCCACCTTTTTAACTTTCAAAGGAGATAACGATTTGTTTTCAAATTTCAAAAAAATCATTTTTATTATGTTTTATACCATCGTCCAAAGAGGAACGATTATAGTTCTGAAATATAAAATTTTTGTGTAGTGATCTAAAATGTTTTTATTTTAATTCATTATAATAAAATTATTTTAATTATATATATATACATATATATATGCTTGTCTGAATCATCTTCAAGAAGCGAGAGCAAGATCTAAAAGGTCAGCCAATCTAACAGTGATCTCATTTCCCAATCCTCACACTTGACACCATATGTGGCCTCCTTTGTAAATCACTAGCGGGTCTTAAATGCCACATGATTATCGCACAAAATATTATAACTGAATCAATATGCTGTCAGATCCTCATAAGTCGAAACCGACGGGAGAGTTCATTATTATATATATATATATATATATATATATATATATATATATGCAGAAATGTAGTTTTAAAATGTGCTATATTTATGGGATAACGTGCTCAATATCAGAGATAGAGCATATGTAAATATAAATATAAAAGCGAACATTGAAGTGAACACTCAGAGCGACAGGTTGTTTCATGCTAGACGCAATCATCAAGCGGCTTGACAATTGCATCTAGCATGAAACAGCCTGTCGGAAATTTATATATATATATATATATATATATATATATATATATATATAGGTATTTTATGAAAAACTAGGTAATCTGTATGGGTAGACCCAAGGAGGATAAAACCAGAGAGCTCAATGTAAATCCAGAGCAAATAATTTAAATAAAAACAGACCACTTTAAGGTTCCATGTAATAAATTATTTCCACAGCCCTTTTAAAAGGACTGCGGATCATCAGACTTTACTTCCAAAGGTTGAAAACGAAAAAAAATTAGGTAAATCAGTTTTCAGCCAATATTATTTGCTGTTTTTTTGTTGTTTTTTTCGTTTCAACCTTGGAAGTAAAGTTCGATGATCCGCAGTCCTTTAAAAGGGCTGTGGTGAAATAATTTATTACATGGAACATTAAAGTGGTCTGTTTTTTTTATTTAAATTTATATATATATATATATATATATATATATATATATATATATATATATATGTATGTATGAGATTTACTTGATGTTAGGGATGAACTTTAATCCCAATACACGTTCAATAGAGATTGATGATTAAGGTTTGAAATCTGGCTTGAGTAAACCTGTTTCTCGCGATAGGCGAAAATTAAAGATCTGCTCGATGGAGATGAAACGTAACTAATTCGATTCTGGAGGTAATGAATGTTAGTTTTCTCTCGTTGTGTTGATGCAGTTATGTTAAAAGAAGGGTCAGTAAAAGATTGGGGTGGGGCTCAGTCTAAATGTTAATCGGATAATAACAGAAGACAATTTCTGCGTAGTAACGAAGTCAGTAAAGGCAAATATTCCGTTTGTTCGGTTGGGGGTAACAAACTGAATACAAAACCGGAAACCATTTACAAAAACCGCGAAGAAAACAAAATCGAACGTAAAAAAATTACAGAAAGTAAATTTAAGGAAGCGTGTAAGTCAGAAGAGAAAGAGAAGAAAAGTGGGAACCCTGCCGTGAAGCCTTGTTGTCGACAATGTTAAATATAGAAAAAATTCCCAGATGTCATTCATCAAAATTCGAATCCAATAGCATCTGTCAATTATGAGAGATGCTTTCATTTCTTAAACGAAACTTAGCAAACTTATGAACTAGATTAATACAACAATATATTCGCTGCCTTGTAACAAACTTGGCTAAGATGACTAATGCTCCAAGAATAGAGCAAAAACACGCTAATCAAGATGCGGGAAACAATAGAGAAGAAAGAAAGAAAGAAAGAAAGAAAGAAAGAAAGAAAGAAAGAAAGAAAGAAAATGTGTTTTCTACACTGTTTATATTTAGCATTTGAATAAAAATAGAAAGGCAGTGCACTAAGAAAAGACGCTAATCAAGAGATAGAATAAAGGTAGATAAGGAAAGATGGGGTGAAAAAAAGGAAAAGAAGATTGGAAGAGAAAAAAGAAATAAAAAAAGAAAGAGGGCTGGAAGAGGAAAGGAAGGAAAGAAGGAAGGAAGAAAATTGAGAAGAAAGGAAGGAACATTGAAAGTGAAAAAGTAAAAATGAAAGCAAGGAAGGAAGTGGAAAGATAAAAAGTAAGGTTGAACGAGAAGGAAGGAAGGAAGGAAGTGGAAAGGGGAAAATTAGTAAGAAGAGAAGGCAAGAAAAGGAAGGAAGGGAGGAAGGAAATGAAAGAGAAAAGAAAAAAGGGAAAGAAGAGTAAACAAACGAAAAGGAAAGAAATGAAGATTGGAAAAGAAAAAAGAACTAAAAGAGGAAAGAGGGTTGGAAGTGGAAAAGGAAGGCTGAAAGAGATGGAAGGGAGAAGAAAGGAGGAAGTGGGAAGGCAAAACGTAAGGAAGGAAGGAAGGAAGGAAGAGAAAGAAGAAAGAGGGGAAGGTTGAAAGGAGATGTGGAAAAAGAAAGGAAGAAAAAGGGGAAAAAAGAAAGGGGAAGGAGAGAAGGAAGAAAGAAAGGGACGTTGAAATTGAAGAAGTAAAGCAGAAAGGAAGGTAGGCTGAAAGAGAAAAGCGAAGGAAGGAAGGAATGAAAGAAGAAAGGAAGGAAGGAAGGAAGGAAGGAAGGAAAATGTTGGAAGTGAAAAGGAAGGAAGGAAGGAAGGAAGGAAGGAAGGAAGGAAGAGAAAAAAAAAGAGGGGAAGGTTGAAAGGAGATGTGGAAAAAGAAAGGAAGAAAAAGAGGAAAAAGAAAGAAAGAAAGGAAACAAGAAAGGAAACAAGAAAGGAAACAAGAAAGGAAGGAAGAGAAAAAAGAAAGAGGGGAAGGTTGAAAGGAGATGTGGAAAAAGAAAGGAAGAAAAAGAGGAAAAAGAAAGGAGAAGGAGAGAAGGAAGAAAGAAAGGAACGTTCAAATTGAAGAAGTAAAGCAGAAAGGAAGGTAGGCTGAAAGAGAAAAGCGAAGGAAGGAAGGAAGGAAAGAAGAAAGGAAGGAAGGAAGGAAGGAAGGAAGGAAGGAAGAGAAAGAAGAAAGAGGGGAAGGTTGAAAGGAGATGTGGAAAAAGAAAGGAAGAAAAAGATGAAAAAGAAAGAAAGAAATGAAACAAGAAAGGAAGAAAGAAAGGAACGTTGAAATTGAAGAAATAAAGGAGAAAGGATGGTAGGCTGAAAGAGAAAAGCGAAGGGAGGAAGGAAGAAAGGAAGGAATGAAGGAAGGATTGAGACCAAGAAAGAAGAAACGAAGATTGGAATGAAATTAAGAAAAAAGAAAAGAAAAAAAAATGACTTGATATTAATATCGGGGTTAGAAAACACAAGGTAACAGTTTTCGAAAAAGTAAATACGATGGAAATGGTTTTGTCATCAATACAAATTGGAAACTATTTTATTTTAAGAAGTGAATGTAATGACTTCTCTAGTTGTCAGACGTTGAAATTTGGCAACTTCTTGATTAAAACTTTGTAAATGTTATCTGTTGAATATAAAGATTTTACCATCGGGATTGTGCCATTTTAGAGGACATGCGAAAAAAAAACAAAGAAAGAAAGAAAAAAATACAATAAGGAATTATTGGTTACAGGCATTTATAGTTATAATGTTGATGTATGTTGCCTCCAAGAAACCAAAATCAATGACTTGATATTAATACCGGAGTTTGATAGCTTTGAAAATAAACTGTAAATACTATCGAAATGGTTTTGTCATCAATACCAAATGGAAAACTAATATCCATAGACACTGGACGAACAACTCATGTCTCAAAAGTAAATCCGGTATTGCTGACAAAACTAAAACTAGCCTTTAGTCTCTAAAAGGACGTCCAATCTGTGGTTAACCGGGGCAAGAAATGGCTTGTAAACGTCCGTTCATTCGGCATCCGTCCGTCTCGGGAGACGTTGGAGTAGCGCTGTGGATGCTAGGCGATGGAGTTACATCGCCTCTGGTGGCGTGTCGTACGAGCCTGGGCAGGATATATGAAGAACTAGTGCTGCCAGGACGTCTAGCTCCCCCTCTTGGCCTTGCTAGAAGAGTTCAAAGGAGAGGATGTACCAATACAGTTTGGTACCAGCGCGGCTGCAGGAGTTTCCGGAAGGTAGCACAGAGTGCCGTCCATCCGCCTTAGGGGATCCACTCCGGATTTGTGTAGGGTTTACTCCTTGGCCCTTTCTTCTCCCGAAGATTTCCACGAGGCAGTGGAGCTATTTAACCCATAGCCGGGGTTTGATTCATGGGCACCAGGGTATGTTCACACACCGGTTGGCCTGCATACCACATGTTAAGGGGGCCAAACGCCTCCTCCGTCCCCTGTAGTTTAGCCCGAGTCCGCAAGGTGCTCGATTGCCATGTGTCGCCACGAGGAGGCACTACATAGGGCTTGCTGATTGACAGGCTATATACTGGCAGGGGAAGACGTACGCACTCGGCTCCCCTTTTCGCATTTCTGCTAGCCAACGGCGGTAACTGAACGCGGGAAGCGACTAGCACTACCACCACAGACTACCACACTAGATGCATCACAACAGCCGTTGAGACACACAAACGTTAATGCCTCCAAAACGAAACTGCACTCATTTACTAACCGCAAGGAACCCTCCCTGCCTCCTGTCAGAATGGCCCGTGCCCAACTCCACGAGAGCGTCTCTTTGCGCCTGCTTGGTCTCACGCTTTCCACTGACCTGAGGTGGAACAACTACATGGAATCAATAGCTTCATCTACCGCAAGGAAAGTTGGTTCTTTGTGTCACGCCAGAAGGTTTCTCTCGCCTGAGTTCATCTTTCAAGTCTACAGATTCACCATTCGTCTTTGCATTAAATACTGTATCAATATATGGTCTGGTGCCTCCGCTGTTCATCTCGAGGTCCTCAACAAAATCCAGAGATGGACATGCTACTTGCTTCCCTGATAGCTATAATTTTCAAATATTCAAATGTAATGTCAATCGACATCTTCTGATACCTTGATATTGATTCCCGTCCTTTTCTATATCCGTTCCTCAAACAACTCTTTTGACACTTGCTCTCTCCGTAACTGGCTTGGGGTAAAATGCTTAAAAAGACTAATGAAGAAGTAGTATCAATAATTTGCCCCATTCTCCGTAAAAATAAAAAAACCTTTAGGAGCTCAGAAGACCTGCAGCAATTTTGTGAGTTTGTTGGGATCTGTCTAGTTAGGTTTTTGTTGCTATCCGAGTGTTGGGTTTTCAAACAATAACAACAGCTACAACAAGATATTTTTTTAAATGAAACATAAAAAAAAATGTTTATCCTTTAAAGGAAACGGCGAAGTAGAACGTCAGTTGGAATAACATTTAGATATTCTTTTCAAAAATATAAAATAACAAAAAATGTTCAATTTTATTTGCAGTGAAGTTTGCTTTATCAAGTAATTAAGTGTTCGTAGTGTTGCTGGATAGTCTTACTTTATCACAGTCAGCCTAACAGCCTAATGTTTCTGTCAGTGCGTAGACTAGGCCTTAGTCGGCGGCTATTGGCTTTTCTCTTCCATTAAATGAATGTGTGTGGGTGCGTGTGTGCACACATGTAGATCAAACAAGCTTCCGAAATTGTTTTTAACCCCGAGAAGCAGTAAGCTTCTATTTTTTTTTTTTAAACGTAAGGGAGATCTAATTTCACATAGAGGTGTGTATTTTTGAATACAAGGTTTTCATTAGTTAAAAAATAATTTCAAGCCGGCTTGCGAAAATCATTTTCTCGAATTTGCGAGTGTGGTTAAGGGAGTTATTATTGTTCTGGTCACCCATTTATTTGTATAGAAATGGTTGAGCTGAAGAATTAGGAGTGAATTTCGGTCCTAAGGAAATAAATTATAATCATGTACCCTTAAAGTTATCAGTTTCTTAATAATAATTTATATATATATATATATATATATATATATATATATATATATATATATACTCAGATGATACTATGACGATAAACAGCATACGGCATCAAGGTTTTGAGTTTCTTAATTTTTGTTGTTACTAAATCTACCCTGACCCGGTATGGTAGCATCTGTTAAGGTCCCGGTTCTGGGCAAATAGTTAATCCCCAAACTGAAGTCTAAAAAGAAGTGTCTAATTGTCCCAATGAAATTAAATTTCGGCGTTATATTATACATAAGGAGTTGATATACCATAAACAAACAATCAAATATTAATGTACAAAACACAAGAACAAACAAAGTACAAGGTGAAAATTATTATAAAATAAATTAAACTTTGTTGATATTGGAGTCATTTACACATATAATTAGGAAGGAAGGAAGGAAGGAAGGAAGGAAGGAAGGAAGGAAGGAAGGATGTGGTAAAGAAAGAACAATGGCAGTAAGGTTGGAAGGGATGTACAAAAAAGAAAGGTAGGAATATTGAAAGGGAAAGAGGAAAGAAAATGAAGGGGAAAAGTAAAGAAGAAAGGAAGGGAGGTTGGAAGAGAAAAAGAAAAAAGGAAGGGAAGTTGGAAGAGAAATAGGAAAGAAGAAAGGAAGGGAGGGAGGTTGGAAGAGAAAAAGAAAAGAATAAAGAAAGGGAGAGATGTTGGAAGAGAAAAAGGAAAAAATAAAGGAAGTGAGGTGAGAAGAGAAAGAGAAAAGAAGAAAGGAAGGAAAGTTGGAAGAGAAAAAGGAAAGAAGAAAGAAAGGATTGATGAGCTTATCTTTGCGAATTTGGTGTCAGTAGATTAAAAAATACCAAAACTGGACGATCGACGACTTATACAAGTGGGGTCTGCACTGAGCGGCTGCACGTCGACAGAAAACGAGACTAAATCAACCGGGCCCAGGGGACGTGTACGGGAAGAGAAGGGGTTACACACACACGCATGCACTCACGCACACACACACACGTGTGTGTGTGTGTGTGTGTGTGTGTGTGTGTGTGTGTGTGAGTGTGTGCGCGCGCACGCGCGTACGGTAAGTTTGAAGCTTGACAAGAATGCGAAATGACGTCGAAAACAGCGAGTTTTGGTGGTAAGTCTAATGCTTTAGGGCTGCAAAAACCTGGTTAAAATTGACGATAACTTGAATAGTACCAAATACAGCCTGTTGCTGAAAGAAAGAGCTGATCCCAGACATAGATGAAGGTGATATCTTTTAGCATTACGGAGTTCTATGTCATAGATTGCAACACAAATGAGACTGATTGAAGGATTGGCCAGATAAAAGCTCTGATTTAAATCAGTACTAATGAATAGAATTCGTCAGAAGAATCCACGCGATTTTGAGTTGTGGAAGTTCAACCACGGGAAATTATATCTGATGGTGTAACAATACGATTTCTCATACATCCTTATGAGATAGGTAGATACATACCTTTTCCTTTTAAGTTCACTTAATTATCTGAGTTTCTTAGGAAATTCGTCTCTAGTCCCTCTTTGAGTCAGGGTTTTCTGTGTCCAGCCGCTTTTGAATTGGCAAACATAAGATTTTATCAATGATTTTAGATAATCATAAAAGTAGTCCCTTAAATAAGCTGGCCACTCAAGTAACCGAATGGGTGGTCTTTTGTCGTTATTTTTTGTTGAATATGATCACGGCTAAGAAGACAAATCCGTGAACATAGCGAATCGGGTGTATACGCAGACACATCCGACTTTGGATGTCATCACAGGTGCAGGGAAAGATGGACGAGCGGAGCACGTCCTTACAATGGTGAAAGATTTGTACGCATCTCATGCCAGGTGCACTGAAGCAATTATTCAAGTCATAGGAAGACACGTAAAATATTAACAATTAATTTCTTGAATTCAACATTATATAATAAACGTATTTTTTCTGATTTTAACACTACATATAACTTTTTGTATTGTTTTTTTTTTGTTTTGTTTTTTTGTTAGATTGCTTAAATACAAGATAACCAAAAAAGTTCTGCCCGTTTTTGATTAGTCATTGAATGAAGTTGAAATATATACGAAATTCATGTAGCAATTGTTTTCAAATTCGGACAGCCGGAAGTAGGAACATCAGACGTTATAAAAAAAAACCCTCACCGTGCCCGGCCATCAGTTATAAGCCGGACAGCTGTGAGAAGGATTGAAGTGTCTAGAGATCTCGTTCGGGACTGTTTGCTTTACGACTTCAAAGTGGGCTTATCAGCAGCTGCATCAAGTCGCCGCATATGTCAAGCGTTTGGGGATAGTGCTGTGGATGAACGTACTGCAAGGCGTTGGTTTCGAAAATTCGAGTCGGAAGATTTGTCTCTCCATGATGTGCCTCGCGGTGGACGACCACAGGTCTTGAATAAAAAAGTCCTGAAGGCGTCAATTGAAGAGGACAGTAGTCTAACGTGTGGTGAACTTGCAAGACAGTTCAACGTTTCCGATGAAACAGACTTCACCTGCACCGCCTAGGTAAGACGTACAAACTGAGCAAGTGGGTTCCGCAAACGCTGTTGGAGGTCCACAAAGGACAACGAGTGGCAGCCTGCTTATCGCTGCTTTCTCGCCACCGTACCACATCCTTATTCAATCGAGTGCCTACCAGTGATGAAAAGTGGGTTCTGTACGAAATGCTCAAGCATTCCAGATATTGGTTGCCTCCTAAGGATGCTGTCCCTCACACTGCAAGACCGCCTATGCACCCACGCAAGATTATGCTTTATGCCTGGTGGACAGGTCGTCAAGTGGTTCATTATGAACTGCTACCAACGGGCCAAACGGTCACTAGAAACCTATACTCGCAGCAATTGAAACGTGTGCAACAGGCATTGCGCCAGAAGGATCCAGCACTGGTGAATCGCAAAGGTGTGCTTTTCCTCCATGACAACGCCAGGCCGCATGTCGCGCGAGTGGTCAGGGATACCATACAGCAACTTGGGTGGGAGACTTTGTGCCATCCACCTTATTCACCTGACCTTGCGCCATCCAATTACCACCTCTTCCACTCCATGGATAATAATCTTCGTCGGAAATCCTTCACCAATGAAGCAGACTTGCGCAAAGCCCTCGCGGACTTCTTTGCGTCAAAACCCCCGAGTTCTACCGCAAGGGCATTGAACAGCTGGAGATACGTTGTCAGAAGGTGCTGGATGCCGATGGCGATTACTTCGAAGACTAAATATAAGTTACACATACTGGGAAGCGTTTTCTTTTTTTCCTTTAATAACGGACAGAACTTTTTGGTTACCTTGTATATATGGTATTAGAGAAAAAAAAATATATATATATGGTATCAGAGAATATATATATATATATATATATATATATATAACTTTTTTGGTTACCTTGTATTTTATCGGATATTTATATATTTATGTATTTTCTATTTAATTTGTATTTTTCTCATTTTATATGCTTTTAATAGAAGGATAGATAGGGCTTGGAACTAGGGTAGATATAACATTATGTCGGATAAGGCACCAGTTAATGGGAATACTATGTAAGATGGCATATTCCATCATTTTGCTTTTCTCTCCTGCATTATGAGAATTATTATATTCATGATATAATAACATCTTAGTTGACGGACGGAACTGAATAGCTGAAAAAAATGAATGACAAACATGTATTAATCGCAGAAAGAGTTTTATACCGCTAAGTGATACACAAAATTATATAGATACATTTACACGTGCACCATTCAGAGAAGCTATAACACATGTATACCACCACAAACAGTGCGAAAATGACGAAGCGAGAGAGAGTCTTACTTTTAATAATGCTCAAATGGAATTTGATTCTTCTGTGTTTCTGAAGAATCCATATTTACGATTCCCATCGAAGATTAGAGCGGCCGGATTTATCTTCTATGTAACTAACGAAGACATACTTCTAAAACAGGAAACGATGAGTTTTCTCATAATGAAGACTGCGAGCCGGAGATTTTTATATTTGTTGAAGTTATATTCCGAAAGGAAAACAGTGCTATGGGCTTGTAAGCTAACCTTTTGGAAGATTTAGACTTACCCTGTACTAAAAAAGGCAAACGCTCGATCCGACGCCTGGAAGCTGACTGACGGACAGGCAAACTTTCTCACACTGTGAAGAGGCGTCAATAAGCAACCACCACGTGACCTATGTGACTTCATCTCAAAGTGAGATAATCGCCTCTTGTATCCATACACCCCAATTGATACGTATTTCAAATACTCTTGTAACGAACGGATTATGTTTATATATGAGTGTTGCGTTAGTTGTCTTTGATGTTGAGAAGGTTTCGTGTGCAAACGAATAAAACACCTTGCGCACAGCAGGTAAGAAGAAATCAGACAAACAAAGGAATATACACAATCAGAGAGATATTTTTATACTATCGGAAGCGTTTAACATAACACCTGAAAGTGTGAGTAAGATTAGGAATGTTTATAATCCTTGTGAAAAGTGAATGGTTGAACATTGTCGTGAAGAGAAGGAGTGAGTGAGCGAGTGAGTAAGGGTACTGTCCAGGCTAGCGATGTATTCTAGGAAGGTGCAGATTTCCGCCCTTCATCATTAGAAGTGCTGCCCTCAAAAGAACTACATCTTAACGCGGAAATTAATAGCTGCTTCTAATAGATTTTTGTGCGACTAACTAAAGATCGGCTGTTACTAATATTTCTGATAAGGGTGGACGTCACATGCTTAATATTCATGGTAAATTTTAGTAGCATCGGTTGGTTAAACCTAATTGCGAAAATAATGTATCGCATAATTCTATTATAGTATAAATATATATATATATGTAGATAGATAGATAGATAGATAGATATCCGTGAGTGTGTATGTGTAAAGACACTAGTACAAATAGCCAACACAAAAATATCAACATTCATTAAGTAAACATATTTTATTTTTTTATTTTATTTTATTTTCATTTTGATCTTTTTAATATTTTCTTTTCTTTTTTCTTTTCTTTTTTATCCTATTTTTTTCCTTTTTCTTTTTGCTTTTTCTTTTCTTTTTTATCGTTTTTGTCTTCCCTTTAGTTTTTTCTTTTCATCTTTTTTGTATTTTCCTTTTCATTTTTCATTTATTTTTTTATTTTTTTTGTCCCTACTTTTCTTCTTTCTTTTCATTTTGATCTTTTTAATTTTTTCTTTTCTTTTTTATCCTATTTTCTTTCCTTTTTCTTTTTGCTTTTTCTTTTCTTTTTTATCGTTTTTGTCTTCCCTTTAGGTTTTTCTTTTCATCTTTTTTGTCTTTGCTTTTCATTTTGCATTTATTTTTTTTGTCCTTACTTTTCTTTTTTCTTTTCTTTTTTATCGTTTTTCTCTTCCCTTTTCTTTTTTCTTTTCTTTTCTATTTTTACTTATTTTCTTTCCTTTTCTTTTTGCTTTTCTTTTCTTTTTTATCGTTTTTCTCTTCTCTTTTCTTTTTTCTTTTCTTTTGATCTTTTTTGTCTTCACTTTTCATTTTTTTATCTTTTTTGTCTTTAATTTTCTTTTTTCTTATCTTTTCTTTTCAAAATATTTGACATTGCCTACAATTAAAAAAAACTATTTCATTTTTTTGATTTAGTAAATATTTATATTTCTGAAATTTAATAATGTATAATTTTTCATGTATGGACAAAGAACATGAGTCATTTAATGACCTCTGTCTTTTCGTATTAATTTCCATTTTACTGTTGGTGTTTTATTGATTTCTTTTAAGTGCCAGAAATATTTAGATAGGGCCGTTTAATTTCGGTATTTATTATTATTAAAGAACGTTTGATGTTGATTTCACCTTCTTTTAAATTCATTACTTGTGCATACAATGTAGATTTTAACCATGTCTGGATCTTCAATAAATGAGATATTGCATTGATAAACTACTGATTCTATACGACATTTATTATTAAGAGGACAGTTTGGAGGATTTCTACAGTTACATAATTTTCTTTAACTTTATTTCTTTTTTATTTTAAGATCTATATTTTTTGATTTTGGTATAAGTATTTATTCAAGATATTAGCTTTATGTTTCTTAATAATCATTTCTAAGTTTTTCAGTACAGCTGCAACTTAATTTAAGGATATTTTATTAAAAATTGGACTGAGTTTACTATCTCTAGGAAGATGTTTATCAATTAATGCAAGGATTTTTTGTCCGAACTTATTTCTTACCATTTAGTTGTATGAAGATGTATATCAAATGATTTTTCTATTTCAATTTTTTCTATGTTGTTCATTTTCATTTTTTCTATAATTGCGTTTTGGGCATTTATAGCTACTATCCTTTAGAGATTTATTATAGAAATCACTCATATAATATTTTCTCATTTGCTGAATTTGTACTTATTCTTTTTTCGATAAATGAATGTATATGCTTAATAATATAAGATGATTAGTCTTAGGGTATATATACAAAGGATTAGTATTAAGCTTTTTGTAAGTTACCTATATATTATTCATTAAATCTAATGGTGTATCAAGGAAGCTAACTTTTTTTCAATTTAGTATTTACAGAAATTATCAAGTTTAGGCATTTAAATTCTCTGTGTAATATTTTTCTAACTTTTAAAATTGATAAAATTAGAAAACTATTACACAAAAATTTACTAAATCAAAGAAATGAAATAGCCATTTTTTGTAGGCACTGTCAAATATTTTCCTTAAATAATAATTAATTTTGGCGGAAAAACAGAAGAGAGACGAAACGTACATATGTATACCTGATCATTAATTAATTT